GGGACAAGTTTGTTTCTCCTGCACATGCGTGGGTGGACATGCATATCTTTTTCAGTACCTGCTCTTTTTGAAGGGCAGGCATTGTTTCTTCAATCAGAAATTTTGGCAAGTCACTGCCTCAGGCCAACTGTAGCTTGCACAGGTTGTTCAAGTCTCTATCTTGATTTAACCTGCCTCCACTGCATCCATTATACAAAGTTCATGTCAAATAGACTCACGTCCTTAAGAGCACCTGCTTCTGATGCCATCCAAAGTGTCAGCTCTGCCTGGGCTGCAGTGTGGATAAGATGGCTAAGAGACATGTGAAAAATGCTCAAAGTAGCCAAAAATGGATTGGCTCAGTGGATAGAGCATGGGCCTGGGGACTGAAAGGTCCCAGGTTTGATTCCAATCAAGGGCATGTACTTTGGTTGTGGGCACATCCCCAGTAGGGGGGTGTGCAAGAAGCAGCTGATCGATTATTCTCTCTCATTGATGTTTCTCTCTCTTCATCACTGTAAAAAATCAATAAAAAATATATATATATTTAAAAACACAAAGTATAAAAAAAATTTTTTTAAATGCTCAAAGTGAACCAGAAAGATGCCAGTTAGAGCACCAATCACAAATAACCCCCCACTGTTAGAATGGCTGCCATCAACAACAAAAAAACAAGTGCTGGGTAATAAAAAAAAATTTAATTAAAAAAAACACACAAAAAAAACCACAAGTGCTCGGGAAGATATGGAAAAATAGGATACCAGAGTACACAGCGTCTGGGAATGAAAAGTGGAGCAGCCATTGTGCAAATCAGTATGAACTTTCATAAAAGAAATTTAATATGGAACTGATATTTGACTCCTTGATTCTACTTCTTGGAATATACCCGCAGAAACCTGAAACATTCAGATTGAATGTATGCACCCCTATGTACATAGCACCACAATTTACAATAGCAAAGGTCTGGAAACGGCCCAGGTCCCCTTCAATAGATGAATGGATACAAAGCTATGGTGCATTTATACTAGGGAATACAATGGAGCAATAAAAAAGTAAAAAATGCCGAAACCGATTTGGCTCAATGGATAGAACGTCGGCCTGGGGACTGAAAGGTCCCGGGTTTGATTCCCGTCAAGGGAATGTACCTTGGTTGCAGGCATATCCCCAGTGGGTGTGTGTGCAAGAGGCAGCTGAACAAAGACTCTCTCTCATCGATGTTTCTAACTCTCTCTCCCTTCCTCTTCGTATAAAAATCAATAATATATATTTAAAAAAAAGAAAAGAAATTCTACAACTAGAAGGAAAGAGAAAACCACAAGGAAAATCAGAGGAGCTGTAAAAGCCTGAGGTACAGACACACATGTGCAGAGAGGATGGGGCCTCTGAGGGCCTGGCTGCTGTTCTCAAGTGAGGAGATAAAAGCTCTGGACTGCGCTGAACCCCAGTTCTGGACCAGTCACGCCCCAGAGAAGGGGCCAAAAGGAAATACCTTATTTGAGCCCCAATTGGCTGAGCCTGGTGGCGTTCCATGCGTGGCCTTGTGGGTAATGTAGTTTCTTCCCTCCAAGGCCAGGGTCAGGTGTTGCTTAGTAGGCACAAGCACAGCTTTAAGGGGCAAATAGCCCAAGAAGACAAGTATTCTCAAGGTCACCTAGCCCCTTCAGGGGATGTGATGTCTGGAGCAAGTATGTTTCCGGTGACCTTGCCTGGCTTCCTTTAGCTGCAGGTTTTGCATATCTTTCTTCAGGACCTGCTCTTCCTAAATGACAGGCAATGTTTCTTCATTCAGGACTTTGGCCATGAGGTGCCTTTAGGCCAACTATAGCTTGCAGGGGCTGCTCAAGTCTCTAACTAGTTCTAACCTGCCTCAACTGAATCCATTGTACAAAGTTAATGTCACAGACACTCATATTAGGTCTAGTAATAATTAATGTCGTTTTCTAATACTTTTTAAAATCCAATTTATTTAAACAATTCAACAAAATTTAATCAACAATATAGTTGCCGTTGTTTTCTACTACTTGTGCCCAATGCTCAGGAAGCATTTTAATCCCTCTGTTGTAAAATTCTTGTGATTTTGATGCAAAAAATTCGGTCAATGCATTTTTGAGGCATTCTTCATTATTAAATTTTTTTCCAAGAAGAAAGTTTTGCAAAGAACAAAACAAATGGTAATCGGAAGGGGCAATATCATGAGAATATGCAGGTTGAGGGAGAACTTCCCATTCCAACTGGCACAGTTTTTCAGCAGTGATTCTTGCAGTATGCGGTCGTGCGTTATCGTGAAGAATTACACCCTTCCGATTAATCAGCGCGGGTTCTTTTTCTCTTAAAGCTTGGGCTAACCTTTCCAATTGGGCACTATACACTGCACTTGTAATGGTTTGGTTAGATGGTAAAAGTTCATAATGAAGAATTCCTTTAAAATTCCACCAAACACACATCACTTTTTTCGCATGCAAGTCAGGTTTTGGCGTGGGCTGCGGAGCCTCATTTTTGTCCAAACATTGAGGCCGCCTTTTCAAATTAACATACGGAACCCATTTTTCACCTCCGGTAACAATTTGCTCTAAAAACGGCAAACGGTTTTGACGAGAGAGGAGCGAACTGCAAATTGTGACTCTTTGATTACAGTTGTCGGTCAGCTCATGAGGAACCCATTTTCCAAACTTTTGGACTTTGCCAAGTACACGCAATTGATTGGAAATTGTTTTTTGTGAACAATTTAAAGTTGTCGCAAGCTCTTGTTGGGTAATTTGAGGATTTTGCACCAAAAGAGCTTGAAGAGCTTCTTGATCAAAATTGGACACATGGCCTCAACCACTCTTGTCATCTAACGAAAAATTTCCCTCGCGAAATTTCTCAAGCCAACGCTGGCATTTTCTGGCGCTAACTGCATCTTGACCAAGAGCACTACAGATGTTTTATGCAGCCTTACTTGCTTTTCTTCCTAATTGGAACTCGTAAAGCATGCAGTGCTGAATATGCTCTTCATCCGCCATCTTCTTAGCCCTAGTTTTGCAACAAAAACCAAACCAAACACAATCTTTTTCAAGCAAAACTTGTTAATTGCACTTCACACGTTCTGTAGATACCACGTGTTTGAAGGTTATGTCAATACAAGTCAACACCAAGCAAGATTTTAAATGAATATTTAAAAACGACATTAATTATTACTAGACCCGATACTAAAAGCATGTGCTTCTGAAGCCATCCAAAGTGTCAGCATCACCTGGGCTGCAGTGTGGATAAGGTGGCCAAGAGACATGTGAAAAGATGCTCAAACTGACTGATCATCAGAGGGATGCAAATTAAAGCAACAGTAAGGTATCACCCCACCACTGTCAGAATGCTTGCCATCAGCAAATCAACAACGTTGCTTTGGGAAGTCAGAAGTGTCAGGTTTGGGAATGTTTCTGCAGCGTGAAGCTGGAGATCAAAGGAGACGGAAAGAGAGGGAGGGGAAAAAAATTAATGCTGAGAGAGAATCATTTACCAGCTGCCTCGTATATGCTCCACATTCTGTATCTAGGCAGGCACAAGCATCCTCCCTTACTATGAATAGAACCGTGTCTTCCTAGTATAAACTAGAGGTTTACTGAACAAAATTCATGAAAACAGGAGGATCCCTCAGCCCGGGCTGTGTCCTCTTGCAGTCATGGAGCCCTTGGGGAATGTCCAGCTAACAGAGGTAAATAACACATATATTACATAAAGGATTATATAGAGTCCTAATGGGTTTGGCTCAGTGAATAGAGCGTCTACCTATTGATTGAGGGGTACCGGTTCAATTCCATTCAAGGGCTTGTACAACCCCAGTGGGGTGGGGGATGTATAGGAGACAGTTGATCAATGTATCTCTCCCATCGATGTTTCAAACTCGCTATCCCTCTCCCTTCCACTCTGTAACAAATCAATAAAATATATATTTTAAAAATTAAATAAACGTACAAAAGAATTATACAGAAATGTTTGTACCAGCTTTATTTGCAATAGCCAAATAGTTATTAAAATGGACATGAGGGTGGTATAGTCAAAGATATGAATATCCAAGAGTCCTAGCTGGTTTGAATCTGGTTAGAGCATCAACCTGCAGACGAAAGGCCTCTGGGATTAATTCCAGTAAAAGGCAAGTACCTTGATTGAAGACTCCTTCCCAGCCCGGCCATGGTCACAGCTGATGTAGGAGGCAACCAATCAATGTGTTTCCTTCACATCAATAATTCTCTCTGCCTTTTCCTCTCCCTCTCAAACTCTCCAAAATAATCAATGGGAAAAATATCCTCTGGTGTGAATTAAAAACAACTTTTACAAATTTCCAAGCATTTATAAAATCATAATTAACACTGAAAAATACTTAGAAAAAGCCAAGTTATTTAATAAATGGAAAGCAAGTCCAAGGTTAGTAGGAAAACTGTGAAAAACAGCAAACAGATCAAATGAGGTCATGAAACAATTACATAGTCACAGATATGATCAGTATTGAGTGTCATGACGGTTTCAGCTTCATGTACATGTTAATATTGATCAAGTACTACACTTACTACACTTACCAAATGCAATTTACTCATTACAACTGTAAAAATTATGGCTCAAGATAAAAGAAATATACTTTCACCTAGTTTGGAATAGGTTTGGCAACTTTATATTCAACTCACATACATAAGGCCCCTGGGCAAGTCTCATCTCAGTGACAGTAAATGTATCAATAAAGAACTTTCACCCAACATCAAATAGAATGCTTACTGGGTCATATGCCTAAAGACACCCTTTCTTTTCCTCTTAGTTTTGCTGCCAGAGCACTAATGGCTATGATGGGAAAATCTCACAGGATACAGGAAGCCACAAATCCACTTGATGGTAATTAATGAAAATGACAGCTCCAGAGATGATAAACATTCCTGAGTCTTTCAGATCTGTGTACACACAGCTCCTGTAGTCTTCATCAAAAAAAAATTCTGGGTGCAGGTTTAGATGAAGACGATTCAGTCTAAGAGGTTGCAGTCTATGCAAACAATTAGGTCAGTGTTTCTGCAGTGAAAGGGTTTCTCCTCACTACAATGTTCCTCCAACCAGTGACCATCACCCATGGAATTGAAGGCATTTGGGCACATGGCCCTCTGCAAGACCTGGGCAGGAGGTTCCCTTCAAATGTCTTAGAATCTCCTGAAAACAAGAAAAAAATTGACACCGCTCCTAGACATACTTGAGTTTCTCATAGCAACACCCCTTTCCAATTATCTCTGCGTCTCAAAGCATCCATTTCCAAAGGAGGACTGCAGTGCAGTGATTCCTAGGAAAATTAAGGGAAAGAATGTAACTTTTGCAAAAACTCCTGATTTAATTTCTGCACCATAGTCTTCCCTTAACATCAAATAATGTTGCAGACCACATAAAAAAATTTTTTTCTTTTCTTTTTAAAAAAATATATTTTATTGATTTTTTACAGAGAGGAAGAGAGAGGGATAGTTAGAAACATCAATGAGAGAGAATCATCAATCAGCTGCCTCTTGCACACCCCCCACTGGGGATGTGCCAGCAGCCAAGGTACAGGCCCTTGACCGGAATCGAACCCGGGACCTTTCACTCCGCAGGGTGACGCTCCATACACTGAGTCAAACCGGTTTTCGAAATTACTTGCACTCTTAACGACTTTCTCCAATGTGAACTTTCTGATGATATCGAATACCACTGCTGCTTGCAAAATATTTCCCACATTCATGGCATTTATAAGGCTTTTCTCCTGTATGAACTCTCTGATGACTACGAAGGTGACTGCTATTGGTAAAAGCTTTCTCACACTCACTACATTGATAAGGCTTTTCTCCACTGTGAACTTTCTGATGATAACGGAGACTACTCCTTTCTGTAAAAGTTTTGCCACATTCACTGCATTGATAAGGCTTCTCTCCAGTGTGAACCATCTGATGACAAAGAAGGTTACTGTTACTGGTAAAAGATTTCCCACATTCATGGCATTTATAAGGCTTTTCTCCTGTATGAACTCTCTGATGACTACGAAGGTTACAGCTTCTGGTAAAAGCTTTCTCACACTCACTACATTGAAAAGGCTTTTCTCCACTGTGAACTCTCTGATGTCTACCAAGGTGGCCCTTAGTGTTAAAAGATTTCCCACATTCACTGCATTGATAAGGCTTTTCTCCTGTGTGAATTCTCTGATGAATACGAAGGTGACTGCTATTGGTAAAAGCTTTCTCACACTCACTACATTGATAAGGTTTTTCTCCACTGTGAACTCTCTGATGACAATGGAGACCACTGCTTTGTGTAAAAGTTTTGCCACATTCACTGCATTGATAAGGCTTCTCTGCAGTGTGAACCATCTGATGACAAACAAGGTTTCTGTTACTGGTAAAAGATTTCTCACATTCACTGCACTTATAAGGCTTTTCTCCTGTATGAACTCTCTGATGACTAAGAAGGTTACTGCTACTGGTAAAAGCTTTCTCACAATCACTACATTGAAAAGGCTTTTCTCCACTGTGAACTCTCTGATGTCTATCAAGGTGGCCCTTAGTGTTAAAAGATTTTCCACAATCACTGCATTTATAAGGCTTTTCTCCTGTATGAATTCTTTGATGATAATGAAGGCGAGAACTAGTTGTAAAATATTTCCCACATTCAGAGCACACAAAACATTGGTTTTCAACATGGACACCTCTTTTCTGAATAAACATGTCAGTGCAAACAATGTCTTTCCTACATTCTTCTCTGGTGTAATCATTTTTTCTCCTTTGAAAAGTCATCTCTTGTGCTGAGATAGCATTTGCACTGTCCCTGGTGAGAGTATCCTTTAGGTGGCTATGTCCTGATTTGAAAAGGACACCCTTACCAACCTCCCTACGTGTGAAACCATTCTGGGACTCATTGAAATTGCGACTGTTTGCATGTGAGATCGTGTCTACATCTGTAATGAAAATCTTCTCTCTCACATGCTGTTGGTCACCTTTTACACAAAAGGAAAACTGTTCTGCACATGCCCCACACCTCAACAGTATCTGTCCGTTCTGTGTTCTCTGAAACTTCATCACATGGAAAATGTATCCCAAGGTGAGCCCACAACTCTCACAGGGATGTCTCTTCTGAGAAGACAAGGCTACCTTGGGATTCCTTCCCTGTGACACTCTTACTGATTCCTTCTGTTTTGTTGGTGCCTCCACATTCTCTGCTCCACAGCAGCAACCTGAACAAGAGGAAAGGAAGGTGAAGTACATGTTGACCTTATGAAAACAGAGTATCTTCACCACAAATGTTTCTGTCATGACTAGGCCTGATTCCAAAGACAAATTGTTAAGACATGTGAGGTGTACTCTGAGGAAATTACTGTTACATATAATGTGGCCCCAAAAGTCAGTAGATGATGAAATGCTCAGCAAGAGAGAGAGAGAAGTTCAGGATGGGACACAAAGAAGAGAAGAAGGCTATACTCATTGTTCCTGCACAAACGGATTCTTTAGGACCTTTTTTTTTTTTTAAATATATATTTTATTGATTTTACACAGAGAGAAATTGAGAGGGACAGAGTTAGAAACGTCAATGAGAGAGAAACATCGACCAGCCGCCTCCTGCACACCCTCCATTGGGGTTGTGCCCGCAACCAAGGTACATGCCCCTGACCGGAATCAAACCTGGGATCCTCAGTCTGCAGGCTGACGCTCTATCGACTGAGCCAAACTAGTCCCGGCTCTTATTTTAATAAATTTTTATTGTTCATATTACAAATGTTCCCGCCCCCCCCCCCCCATTGCTCTCCTCCACTAGGTTCCCATCCCACCCTCTGCCATTTCCCCACCCCCCATTGTCCTCATCCATAGGAGCACAGTTTATGTTCAGTGTCTTCCCCTTTCCCCCTCTCCCCTTTTCCCCAAGAAACGTCAGTTCACTCCCCTTCCATACCTCTGATTCTATTATATTCAACAGTTAATATTGTTCATCAGATTTTTTTTTTTTAATTTCGTTGGTTTTTAGATTCACTTGATAGTTACCTATTTGTTGTTCATATTTTTATCTTTATTTACTTTCTCTTCTGAAAGAACCCCTTCAGCAATTCATATGATTCTTGTTTGGTGGTGACGAACTCCTTTAGCTTTTTTTTATTAGTGAAGCTTTTTATCTGGCCTTCGATCCTGAGTGATCGCTTTGATGGGTAGATTATCTTTGGCTGTAGGTTCTTACTATTCGTCACCTTGAATATTTCTTGCCATTCCCGTCTGGCCTGCATGGTTTCTGTTTAGAAGTCAGCTGACAATCGTATAGGTGCTCCTTTATAGGTAACTATCTGCTTTGCTCTTGCTGCTTTTAATATTCTCTCTTTGTCTTTTGCTCTTGGAATTTTTTTTTTTAAATATATTTTATTGATTTTTTTAACAGAGAGGAAGGGAGAGAGATAGCTAGAAACGTCCATGAGAGAGAAATATCGGCCAGCTGCCTCTTGCACACCACCTACTGGGGATGTGCCCGCAACCAATGTACATGCCCTTGACCGGAATCGAACCCAGGAACTTTCAGTCCGCAGACCGACGCTCTACCACTGAGCCAAACCAGCTTCGGCTGCTCTTGGAATTTTAATTATGATTTGTCTTGGTGTGGTCCTCTTTGGATTCCAATTGTTTGGAGTTCTGTGCGCTTCCTGTACTTGTAAGTCTTATTCTTTCACCAGGTGGGGGAAGTTTTCTGTCACTATTTCTTTCAGTATGTTTTCCATATCTTGCTTTCTCTCATCTTCTGGGACCCCCATAATTCTGATGTTGGTTCACTTGAAGTTGTCCCAGAGGTTTCTTACATTATCTTCAATTTTCTGGATTCTCTTGTCTTCTTGCTTCTGCGGAGGAGTGTCTTCTGGCTCTTTATGATCCAAATCTTTGACTTGATTCTTGCGATCTTCCATTCTATTTTTAGGATTCTGTATAATATTTTTTATTTCAGACAATGTATTCTTTCTTTTTGATCCCTTATCATTTCTCGTTGATTCTTTAATTCTAGTTGATCCCTTTTCATATTATCATAGGTCTTATCGAAGTTTCCTAGGAAATTCTTGTAAAACCTTATAAGCGTAGATTTGAACTCTATATCCAGTCGCTTTTTGTCCTCCATTTTTTTCGTTTGTGATCTATTTCGTTGTCGCATTTTCCCAGCTTCCCTGATGGGGCGGAGTTTCAAGCCTACAGTATTGGCTTTCTTCAGCCCCGCCCTATGCGGCTCCTGAGTCCCAGGGTCCTTCAGTACTTGCAGCAAGCACCTCTGAGAGAAAGGTGCCCTCAATTTTCGCCTGCTACCAAACAGTCTAGGCTCTCCCCAATGAGCCCGGAACTGGGGTTCAGTTCAGTTGGAAGTGGGATTGAAGGTGGAGTTCAGAGCAGTCTGGAGCCCCAGTCTCCTTCCCTCCAGGGCAATCCCACGGCACAGCCAACTGTCACCACCAAACTGTATTAAATGAAATGGTGAAAGGTATTCTTTTAGAAGAGACGAAGAAGAAAAAGGTAAAGATAAAAATTATGACCAACAAATACATACCTACCAACAAGTGAATCTAAAAATCAAGTGAGCCCTGGCTGGTTTGGCTCAGTGGATAGAGCATCAGCTTGTGGACTGAAGTGTCCTGGGTTCGATTCTAGTCAAGGGCACATACACAGGTTGTGGGCTCCATCCCCAGTAAGGGGTGGGCAGAAGGCAGCCGATCAATGATTCTCATCATTGGTGTTTCTCTCTCTGCCTCTCACTTCCTCTCTGAAATCAATAAAATAAAATAAATCAAAATCAAGTGAATAAACAATCTGATGAACAGAATAAACTGGTGAATAAAATAGAATCAGGGGCATAGAAAGAGTGGACTCACAATTCTCAGAGGGGAAAGGAGTATGTCAGATGTGGGAAGAGACTGGACATAAAGCGTACACCTATGGATGAGGACAGAGGAGAGGAGGAAAGGGCAGATGGTGGGATGGGAATCGGGTGGAGGGGAGCCATGGGGGGAAAAGAGATACAATTGTAATAATGTGAACAATAAAATTTATTAAATTAAAAAAAAGAATATCTAACAGGTACTTTTCTAAAACATAAAGAAATTGGCACAGCTTGAGCTAGACTAAAGAAAAAAACAAAAACAATAAATGAAATAAATGAAAGGTAAGACATTCCACCTGACACTATGAAGCACAAAGCATCATGAGAGATGCTGATGTGAGGAGAAGACATGAACCTCCATAGATAAATTTGTCAACATCTCATGTGAGCTTCTGAAATTAATAAACAAATTCAAAGTCCTGGTTAGGTTGGCCAGCTATTTAGTATGTGGTCCAGGATGGGCAGAACAGCAGATCAATGTTTCCCTCTCTTTCTCTGTCTCCCTACCTGTCTCTAAAATCAACAAATTAAGGATGTCCAGTACAACTCAGTGAATGTGCATCAACCTATTATCTAGGAGATAAAAATTCTATTTTTTGTCAGAAGACATGCACAGATTGCCAGCCCAATTTCCAAGGTGTGTGTGCACACAGGAAGGAAGCAGCTGGTCAATGACTCTCCCTAATTATTCATGTATCAATTGCTCTCCTTCTCTCTCTGAAATGAACAAATTATCCTTAAAAAATAAGTAAATAAATGATTTAAAGAATAAACAAACAGGCCAGGCCCATATCTCTCACTGCTGAGAGTGCCCGCCTGTACACTGGAAGGTCATGGGTTCAATTCCAAATAAGGGGCAGGCACGTGGGTTACAGGTTCAATCTCCCCTCTTAGAGGGAACACATGGGGGAGGCAACCAGTTGATGTTTCTCTCTCTCTCTCTCTCTCTTTCTCTCTCTCTGCTTCTCCTCTCCCTACCTGTCCCTTTCTCTCTCTAAGAAAAATAAAAAATCAATGGAAAGAATATTCTCACTATTCAGGTGAACATAAAAGAAAAATAAAGAATTGAGAAAAGTTACGGGAGAGGAGATCCAATATGGCAGTGTAGGCAAAGGCCTATACTCACTGTCTCCCACAACCACATCAAAATTACAACTAAATACAGAAGAACCACCAGCAAGAACCATTAGAAAGCTGGCTGAATGGAAGTCTTACCACGACAGAAGTAAAGAAGACAGCACAATGAGACTGGTAGGAGGTAAAGAGGTTCAGAAGGTGCTGATCCTGTGCCCATTTGGGCCACTTTTCTAATTGGAAGGAGATCGTCATTACAGAGGTCACCTGGAGGAGCAAAAGCTTCTAGAAGCCCCAGAAGCCTAGCCTAGAGTCCCCGAGGTGGGAAAAGAAGTGCCTACCAATAAGTGGAAGTAAGAACTATGGGCTTGCTCTAACTGGTTTGACCCAGTGGATAGAGTGTCGAACTGGGGACTCAAGGGTCCCAGGTTCGATTCTGGACAAGGGCATGTACCTTGGTTGCAGGCACATCCCCCAGTAGGGAGTGTACAGGAGGCAGCTGATCCTTGTTTCTCTCTCATGAATGATTCTAACTCTTTATCCCTCTCCTTTCCTCTCTTTAAAAAAAAAAAAAAAAAAAAAAAAAAAAAAAGTAAAAACTAAGAGCTGTAAAAACCAGTGCAGATTGGGGCTCAGGAACACAGAGGCTGCAGGAGACCTGGAAGATCCGCTTATAATGCCAGCACCAGGAACTGAAATTATAAGCTTCCGCTTCCTCTGACCTCCTGGGCCTGGAGAGCTGGTGGGGGAGAAGCTATAGGGGAAGAGCTGATGAAGATACAATACATATGAGGAGAAACTGGACTGACTGGGATCAGGACAGGAACTTGGGGCAGCTTTCTCCCAGATGGAGGTGCTCACAGTGGTCTTTATACCTATGCTGGGACTTGCGGGGGTTGCACAGCTGACTGACAACCATTTAGGTTTGCTCCGCCCCGGTAATTTTCTGAGACCTTATCTCATCCAGTTTACAACCCCACCCAAGCTGTGTGTGGCAGCTTTTGTATATGAATGTCCTGTCCTCATTCAGGCTAAAACCTGTCAAGTAAGTTGCAGTTGGGTCAGGGAGCCCTAAAACTATCAATAAAAGGCCCAAGACCGGCCGAAACCAGTTTGGCTCAGTGGGTAAAGCATCGGCCTGAGGACAGAAGGGTCCCAGGTTCAATTTGGGTCAAGGGCATGTACCTTGGTTGTGGGCACATCCCCAGTAGAGGGTGTGCAAGAGGTAGCTGATCGATGTTTCTCATTGATGTTTCTAACTCTCTATCCCTCCCTCCTCCTCTCTGTAAAAAAAATCAATTATATATATATATATATATATATATATATATATATATATCCCAAGACTGGGCACCAGTACTAGCCTTCCTTGCTTCAAAGCTAGGCCTCATCAGGGCACTTCCAAACCAGATACAAAGAGGGGAATCTGCAGATCTCTCTTTAGATCCTGGTAGGTGGCTCCAGGCAGAGGCTGCTTTACAATGCAATGATTGTCTCAAAAGCAAACTTGATATAACTTTATGACAAATGCATTACTCTAGTATTCACTAGTAACAAGCATCTGAGCTTCCTAGAAACATGGTGGAACTAGACCTGCTGACGGCAGCGTTTTCAAAAACATGGACTTTGTTGAAAAGGAGGGGTGAGGGAGCAATATCTGCAAAGCAAAATTAAGCACATGCAACAATATGTATTCCTGTAGATCATAAGCATTTAATATTTAAAATATACAAGGTAGTCAAAACAATGTTTAAACAAAAAATACAGTTGTTAAACAGGATAAGGATAAAGAAACAATTCTTCAAAAACTGTGTACAAAAGACCAACAAGAATAGAGAAAATGCTTTCCACACTAATTAAGGTAGAATCTCTCAGGTTTCATGCAACACTACCAACCACAAGTCCTTCCCTGTGAACTTAGTCCAGCGGGGAGAATTGGGATTCAGGAACAGAAGGGAGCAGCAAAAACAGACAAAAACCTCGCCAGGACAGCAATCACCCCCCCAAAAAACAACAAACAAACAAACAAAAAAAACTGGAGGAATCTAGCAAAACCAAAGTCTACATGGGAGGACACAGCACACCCTGGAAGGTGGGGCCTAGGAAATGGCAAAGCCAAGTCCAGCTCACTGGTGACAGTGGGGTCTTTCTTACCCAAGGAAGATACAAGTTCAAAGTTCTCCAGCATCACAGTCAGGTACAGCTGTCTCTGACCCTCATCAAGGAGGCTCCATTCCTCCCTGGCGAAGTACAGGGCAATGTCCTCAAAGGTCACTCCAACCTGTTAGAATAGAGACAATTAAAACCAAAGCTGACCTTCTGAGAACCAGTAATTGTACTCATGACACACATCCCCCAACCCTCCAACCTCCTCCAGGGTACCCGGTTAGTGAGGACACCAGGCCCTAATGCCAGTGCAGGCTGTTCTGTCATCACAGTCCCATCACTCACTGGGATCCACTGGGATCGCCCTCAGCAGAGCAGCTGGGTTGGGTGGGAAGGATTGGGGGAGGGGAGGGGAGAGAGCAATGCCATTTAAGCTCTGGGGCCCCAGCCTTCCTGCCAACCAATTCCACTGCAGTCTCCCAGACCATGCCTCCAAGATAAATCCAAGTATGGGTTTACGTTTAGCCTTAAAGTCTGCACACCAGGTCCCGGGGACCATTAGCTCACACTTCCTCCAGATGTGCACACCACTGGGTAACCTTTAACCTCTTCCCATGTTCAGACCCCAGGTTCACTCCTTGAGCTCTGACCCCTTCCTGCTCCAATGACACTGGATTTCTCTGGACTCCCCGTGAACTTGGCACATGCATCCACAGGGAGCTTGTCTACCGGGGCACCCAAGACCATCCCCGGCCCCTGCGAGACCCCACAGCCGGGAAAGCCCCAATAAGGCTGTGACGGCCTCCCTGCAGCCTCTGATCTGCTCACCAATCCTCACAGCCACACCTTCAGGGGAACCTCAGAGGCCGGTCACCCCTGTCCTCTCCGCCCCGCACTGGCTGTGTCCTCAGAAGCCACCGCGCTCCTCCCTCCCCTCCGCCTTCCTCACGGTCCTCCCCGCGGACGGAGCTGCAGGAGGGACAGGCCCGCACCGGGCTGTGGGGTGCGGGGTGAGGAGGCGGAGGGCCTGGGGGACAGGAACTCACCTCAGCGAAGCCCCTCAGCGCGGGCGCCGCCATCGCGCTCTGTGGGCCGCGCGGGACGGGAGCGGCGGGAGCGGAAGCCGCGGCAGGAATGGCGGGGCCTGTCCCGGCCCTGAAATGGGTCCGAGCTCCAACCCCACGTGTGAGTGGTGAGCACCACGGGAGGCTCCCGCCATGGGCTGTGAGGCGGGGACACCACTCACCACCTTCTCCACAGGAGCTTAGTCTTGGAAAACCTGACCGCCTTAGACAAAAATCTGAGAACAGAAAATCCCACCTGGAGGCTACCGCTCCTGTGCTACCGATAATAACTAAACGGAAACGCCTTCTCTGAGCCCCCATTGGCTTAGTCTGCTGCCATTCCATGCATGGCCTTCTGGGTAATGTAGTTTCTGCCCTCCAAGGCCTGGGTCCTCTTATTTGTCAGTTAACTCCAGGACTGGATTTAGGGGCTGATAGCCCAAGAACACACCAACTATACTCAGGGTCTTCTAGTGCCTTCAAGGGAGGTGATGTCTGGGGCAAGTTTGTTTCCAGTGTCCCTGCCTGGCATCCTTTAGCTGCTGGTTTTGCATATCTTTCTTCAGGACCTGCTCTTCCTGCTGGCAGGCATTGTTTCTTCATTCAGGACTTTTGGCATGTGTCTCCTTCCAGCCAACTGTAGCTTATTGCTCAAGTCTCTAACTCGATCTAACCTGCCTCTACTGAATCCATTGTGCAAAGTTAATGTCACAAAACAGACACTGATATGTATAGCATCTGCTTCTGAAGCCATCTGAAGTGTCAGCTCTGCCTGGGCTGCAGTGTGGATATGGTAGCTGATAGACATGTGAAAAAATGCTCAAACTGACTGATCATCAGAGATGTGAATTAAAACAACAATTAGGTATCACCCCACCACTGTCTGCCACCAGCAAAGCAACAAAGGACAAGTGCTTGTGAGGATGTGGAAAAAAGGGAACCCTAATACACTGCTGCTGGGAATGTAAGCTGTTGCAGCCATTGTGCAAATCAAGATGAATTTCATAGAAGAAATTTAATATGGAACTGACATTTGACTTGTGGATTCTACTTCTAGGAATATATCTGTTGAAACTTGAAACAATCAGATTGAATGTATGCACCCCTCTATTCACAGGAGCACAATTTACAATAGCAAAGATTTGGAAACTGCTCAGGTGCCCATCAATAGATGAGTGGATAGAAAACTATGGTAAATTTATACTATGGAATTCCATGAAGCAATAATAATAATTTTTAAAAAGGAGAAACTTTTACCCTTTCACCCAGCATGGAGGGACCTGAAGAGCATCCTGCTAAGTGAAATAAGTCAGTTAGAGAAAGACAGATCACTTCATCTCACTCATATATGGAATCTAACAAAAAACAAACAAACAAAACAACACCTGATAAATGGAATGAATTTAGAGACTTGGAATCATGTAATGGAGTGTGGTATGTAAGAGGGAGGGGGACTGAGAATAAAGTAAGAAGAAAAAACATTCTGGGGTCAGGATTAAAAGCACATACACACACACATACACACACACACACACACTAAAAATCAAGTTAGGTAAGCCTCGAGCATTTTCTTCAGTTCTCTGAAATCATTGGGATAGCCCTAGGTTGCCAAGTTCTAGGTGTGCTCTAAATTGTGTTTATGTCTTCAGTCTGATGTGTCCTGAAATGCTGATAATCCTCCATGTAATTTTCTCTTTCTTGCCCAGTTGTTGAGAGAATTAAAAGAGGAAATGCTCAAAAATCTAACCCTGGAATCCTGGCAACAAAGTAAGCATCATCACATTCAGCCAACTGGAATCAGGGAGCTCTACTGAGTCCGCTGGAGATTGCCAGGTGGGGCACACCACAATGAGACCCGAGTGCCCACAGCACCTGCCTCCTGCAGCAGAGTCAGTGGCTTCTTACAGGTCCCATTTCTCACTAAAATGCTCATAAAGACAGTAGTGGTTGTGGGCATCGGGGGAGTGAGAGGTGCCTGGCCTCGGAATGTCTCTGCAGGTAGAGGCTGGGGTACTAGGACAGGGAGAGAGAGAGAGAAACATCAATAATGAGAATCACTGATCAGCTGCCTCCTGCATTCCCCATACTAAGAGATCTACCCTGGGGCGCAGGTATGTGCTCTGATTGGGAATGGAACTGTGAACTCCTGGATTATAGGTCCATGTGGAACCACTGATTCCTTCTGGCTGGGTTATCATTTATGTTTCTAACTCCCTCTCCCTTGCTGTATAAAATCAATACAAATATGAAAACATATTATTTTAATACAAAAAAAAACCTTTATTCTGAAAGCAAAAAAGGTACAAAATGAATAAAATTCCAATATCCATCTTTGTTTTCCCAATGTCTTTTTCAAAATATTTTTATAAAAAATCTGGATAAAATGCTTTATGAATTTGTGTCATCCTTGCACAGGGGCCATGCTAATCCTCTCTGTGTCTTTCCAATTTTACTATATGTGCTGCTAAAGCAAGCACTCCACTGTCTTTTTGTTAAAGAGATTTGCCTCTCTACAAAAAACTCATGCACAAACCTAACAATGGGACCGTGCCTGTGCCCTAACTCAACTGGACCTGTTGTCTACGCTAATGCAAGGAATGTAAAGTGGCTATGAAGCAATGGCCAACTATAATGGCTGCAGAAGCCCAGGCCAGACACTATAGGACTCACATGGACTCACAAATACTCCAGGAATTTGGAAAATTTTCAACGGGAAATGCGACACACAACATTGTGTTTTTTTATTTTTTGTATTTTATATTTTATTGATTTTCCACAGAAGGGAGAGAGATAGAGAGCCAGAAACGTCGATGAGAGAGAAACATCGACCGCCTCCTGCACACCCCGCACCTGGGATGCGCCCGCAACCAATGTACATGCCCTTGACCGGAATCGAACCCGGGACCCCACAGTCTGCAGACCGATGCTCTATCCACTGAGCCAAACCGGTCTCAGCCACACATTGTGTTTTAAAAGCCCAGGTGCCAGTTAAATCCTAAACTTAAAATTCCCAGTAGTTCAACTGGCTGGCATAAGGACCATCCTCAATAATACTAGAATACTTCCAGTGGGAAATAGATTGGCCATATTTAAAATTAAGAAACAATGTGAACCCATCTTACTGTCTGCTTGTGAAAATTGGAAAGGCAAATGGTTATGCCCCCAATCCATATGGAATACTGATTTCACCCAGTCCTGGCCTATTGTATCCATCTCAGCAAATAACAATATATAGTATATGGAAAAGGGGCTGTTTTTGCTGGGAAGGGTTAAAAGCAATTTTTACTGTGATATCATTATTTTGCAAAGAATGAGATCTGAGACTGGCAGTTGTCCCATTTATGACTTAGGCACTTAATAAACTCATCATTAGTATCTAGGGAAAGTGTGTCCCTCAAAATGGCAATTACTCTCCAACATTATGTTTATTGGCACAGCAGTAATCAGTCCTATGTGACAACTTTGACAGGGAAACAAGAACTAAGGGCTCAGATATTCCTAATTTTCTTCAACAAATTAGACAACAGCCAGGCTGGTTTGGCTCAATGGATAGAGCATCGGCTTGGGGACTGAAAGGTCCCAGGTTTGATTCCAGTCAAGGGCATGTACCTTGGTTGTGGGCACATCCCCAGTAGGGGGTGTGCAGGAGGCAGCTGATCGATGACTCTCTTGCATCGATGTTTCTAACTCTATCTCTCTCCCTTCCTCTTTGTACAAAATCAATAAAATATATATATATTTTTTAAATTAGACAACAGAGTTAGCTTCCCTGGGCACATGAGGATGGTGATTGATGCCATTTGTAGGGACTTTATCGGTGGATCAGGGGAAATACCTTCAGTGATAGAAATATGCAGTGACATAGATCCGACAGGACATCTTTATATGTTAGAAAGTGCAACGTAGATATATAGTGTTCCAAAATTAAAAGAAACAAACAGAACAGCAAAAATAGTTGCAGAGATGTTACATAATGTAGGTGATTAAATGTACGAGATATAATTCAGACTAATGAGACTTCACTGATTATCTTAGACAATTGTTAAATCCTAACTAACAAAATACATTTCCTACTCATTTAAGAACCTTTTCAAATCCAGACTTTTGTGAAGAGGTAATTTACAAATTAGACTGCTAGATATCTCACATTAATTGCACTCATAAAGGCTTTCTCTGTTGTGAGCTCTCTGATGATACTGAAGACTGTTGCTACTTGTAAAAAATTTCCCACATTCACTGCAATTATAAGACTGTTCTCCAATGTGAACTCTCTGATGAGTACAAAGGGTAGTGCCGCAGGTAAAAGATTTCCCACATTCACTGCATTTACAAGGCTTTTCTCCTGTATGAACTTTCTGATGGCGACGAAGACCAGTGCTCCAGGTAAAAGACATTCCACAGTCACTGCATTTATAAGGCTTTTCTCCTGTATGAACTCTCTGATGCTTTCGAAGATTGGTGTTAGTGGGAAAAGATTTTCCACATTTAATGCATTTATAAGGCTTTTCTCCTGTATGAACTCTCTGATGATCATGAAGTTGAGTGGTAGTGATAAAAGATTTCCCACATTCACTACATTTATAAGGCTTTTCTCCCGTATGAACTCTCTGATGCTTATGAAGTTGAGTGGTAGTGATAAAAGATTTCCCACATTCACTGCATTTATGAGGCTGTTCTCCAATGTGAATTCTCTGATGAGTACGAAGGCTAGCCAACCAGGTAAAAGACTTACCACATTCACCGCATTTATAAGGCTTTTCTGCAGTGTGAACTCTCTGGTGAGTATAACAGTTAGTACTATAGGTAAAAGAATTCCCACATTCACTGAATTGACAAGGCTTTTCTCCTGTATGAACTTTCTGATGACGATGAAGACCAGTGCCCCAGGTGAAAGACATTCCACAGTCACTGCATTTATAAGGTTTTTCTCCTGTATGAACTCTCTGATGCTTACGAAGATTGGTGTTAGTGGTAAAAGATTTCTCACATTCACCGCATTTATAAGGCTTTTCTCCTGTATGAACTCTCTGATGATCATGAAGTTTAGTGGGAGTGATAAAAGATTTCCCACATTCACTGCATTTATAAGGCTGTTCTGCATTGTGAACACTCTGATGAGTATGAAGGCTAGCCATCCAGGTAAAAGATTTCCCACATTCACCGCATTTATAAGGCTTTTCTGCAGTGTGAACTCTCTGATGAGTATGAAGGTTAGTACTATAGGTAAAACATTTCCCACATTCACTGCATTGATAAGGCTTTTCTCCTGTGTGAACTCTCTGATGATATTTGAGACGAGTGCTACTTGTAAAAGACTTTCCACATTCACTGCATTTATAAGGCTTTTCTCTTGTATGAACTCTCCGATTACCACAAAGTACCTTCTCATGACAATGAAGCTTACTGCTATCAGGTAAAGATTTCCCACATTCACGGTGCTCATAAGGCCTTTTTCCAGTGTGCAAAGCTTGGTGATCGTTTAGGCTGTTACTACTGCAAAAAGATTTCCCATATTCACTGCCCTGATATGGCCTTTCTCCAGTGTCTTGTCGCTGTTGATAATGCAAGCTAGAAAATTTGGTAAAATATTTTTCACAACCAGAGTATACAAAACATTGATTTCCAACATGGAGATCCTTTTCCTGAATAAATGTGTGGAGGCACCTTTTGTCTTTTGCACAGGTTTTTCTGGTGTAACAATTTCTTCGCCTTTGAAACGTTACCCCATGTGTCAAAATAGCATTAGGACTGTGCCTGGTCTGAGTAGCCTTTAGGTGGAGATGTTCTGACCCAGTAAGGACACCCTGCCCAACCTCTCCACATATGAAATGATTCTGGGAGGTATAGAGACTGCAGATGTTTCTAAGTGAAATTCTTTTTACACTTCTAATGAAAGTCTCTTTCTCATGTTGCTGGTGAAATTTGGGAATGAAATAAGACCATTTTGCACATGACCCACACCTCAACAGTATCTGTCCAAGTTGGGTTCCCTGCTCCTCAATCAAGTGGAAAATGTTTCCCAAGACTGGCCCACAACTCTCACAGGGATGGCTCTTCTGGGAAGACAAGGCTACCGTGGGATTCATTGTCTGTGACCCTCTTACAGAAACCTTCTCTTCCATTGGTTCCTCCACTGTCTCTGTTCCACAAAAGCAACCTAAAAAAAAGGAAACATTGGCAAAAGACATATTGATCTTATAAAAACAGAATATCTTCTTTTTTTTAAAAAAAAATATATTTTATTGATATTTTACAGAGAGGAAGGGAGAGAGATAGAGAGCTAGAAACGTCAATGAGAGAGAAACATCGACCAGCTGCCTCTTGCACATCCCCTGTGCCCGCAACCAAGGTACATGCCCTTGACCAGAATCAAACCTGGGACCTTTCAGTCCGCAGGCTGATGCTCTATCCACTGAGCCAAACCAGTTTCGGCCAGAATATCTTCTTAACAAATGTTTATCTGTCCTGATAAGGCCTGATTCCATACAAAGATTTTCAAGACAAGTGAAGTAAACTCTGAGGAAATGGATGCTATACATTACGTGGCACCAAAGGTCAGTCGATGATGAAAATTTTACCAAGAGAGGGAAGCACAGGATGGGAAACAAAGAAGAGAGGAAGGCTCTCCTCACATTGTTCGTGCACAAATGGCTTCCTTTAGGACGTTACATGCTGACCATGTGAATATGTGTGGAATAATTTGAAGGTGCTCAAAGCAATGAAAAGTAATTGTATTAGAGCACATGAAGTCCAACGTCAATATAATAATACGAGTGCACTGCAAGGTGCTGCAGGTATATACAAATGTTGGAGTGCAGCAAAGAGAGACTTGTGAAAGAGGCTGAGGTACAAAGTCCGAGTGCTTAAGGTTATCTGTGGGATGGGAAAGTGAGTAGATATGATCACTATTAGAACTGAGTCCTTGGCAAAGTATCAACAACAAGCACAAAAAAGCATAATTGGGTAAGGAATGGGCAACTGTAACAAAACACTGGGTTTCTAGCTATGAATGTATCAAAGGCCAGCCATGAATTCCTCTCCCCAATGACCTTTCACCAAGGCAAGACCACCTGTGGGTAGACTGCAATTCATAAAGTTGTGTTTCTTCTGAGATGCACAAATGTTTTTTCCACTTAAATCCCATTTGGGCCATTGCATGGGATCATGCTGCAAATCTTCAAAAACAGAAAATATGTGTGATCAATACGGTGGTAGAACAACAAAGAACAAATGAGATCACAGACAAAAGCCCTATGTGAGTGACATCATCAAGATGGCAGGATCATAGATATGAGCAACTTTCCTATCCCAGTGGAAGTTGACAGCTATGCATGAACAAAAATGCCATAGGAGCTGAGACCAGTTTGGCTCAGAGGATAGAGTGTGGGCCTGCGGACTGAAAGGTCCCAGGTTCAATTCAGGTCAAGGGCATGTGTCCTGGTTGCAGGCACGTCCCCAGTAGGGGGTGTGCAAGAGGTAGCTGATCGATGTTTCTAACTCTCTATCCCTCTCTCTTCCTCTCTGTAAAAAATCAATAAAATATATATTTTAAAAAATGCCATAGGAAATGGGAATAAGAGTACCATGAAGACACACAGTATTACAGACACAAATAAAGGAGAACTGTACAGAAAGGGCACATGTGTCAAACACAAGGCCCGCGGGCCAAATCCGTCCCGCCAGGCCTTGCAATGTGGCCCGCACCGCGCTGTCATCACTGCACTACGCTGCGTTTCCATCACAATGACAGTTTATGACTGTTCAGTAAACCATTCGGCCCGCGATTTAGGCTGGATTTTAGATTTTGGCCCCTTCTCTGATTGAGTTCAACACCCCTAATCTAGGGCAATGCAAACTAAGGAAAAAATAAACAAATGGCACTTACACCCATATAAAAAGCTTCTGCAAAGGCAAAGAAACCATCAATGAAAGCCCACAGCATGCGTGAACATATTTGGAGCAATGCTATATTTGATAAGGGTTTACTCTCCAAAATTTACAGGGAACTCAGACATGTTAATAAAAAGATAAACAATGCAATCAAAACATGGTCAAAGGACTTAAATAGAAAGAGGACATACTTTTTGGAAGAGGACATACAGAAGGCCAAGAGACATATGAAAACATGCTCAAAGTCACTAATTATCTGAGAGATGCAAATCAAATGACAATGTAGTACCATCTCACATCTGTCAGAATGGCTATCATCAACAAATCAACAAACAACAAGTGCTGGCGAGGATGTGGGGAGAAAGAGAACCTTGTGCATGGCAGGTGGGAATGTAGACAGGTTCAGCCACTGTAAAAAATACTATAATGTTTCCTTAAAAAATTAAAAATGGAAACCCCATTTGATCCAGTGATCCCACTTCTAGGCAAATATCCCAAGAAATCAGAAACACCAATCAGAAAGGACATATGTACCACTATATTCATAGCAGCACAATTTACCATAGCTAAGATTTGGAAACAACCTAAGTGCCCATCAGCAGATGTGTGGATTAAAAAACTGTGGTATATCTACACAGTGGAATACTGTGCTGCTGTGAAAAAGAAGGACCTCTTACTACCGTGTTTCCCTGAAAATAAGACATCCCCTGAAAATAAGACCTAGTACAACTTTGGGAGAAAAAATAAATATAAGACACTGTTTTATTTTCGAGGAAACAGGATATTTCCAACAGCATGGATGGACTGAGAAGCATTTTACTAAACTAAATAAGCAAGCCAGAGAAAGATACATATCACATGATATCAGTCTTTTGTGGCCCATGAGGAAAAAAGCAGACATATGTGATAAAATATGTAATACTTTAAACAAAGAATTTTTTAAAAAGAAATATGTTGAAAATATCTATAGTACACAATGCAATTTATCGATTAAATGCAATCCTGAGGATAATTCCTAAGTATTTTACAAAGAAAATGAAAAGAGAATCTCTAAATGTATGGCATTAAAAAACTCGAACAGGCCAAAGCCGGTTTGGCTCAGTGGTAGAGCGTCGGCCTGCGGATTCAAGGGTCCCAGGTTTGATTCCGGTCAAGGGCATGTACCTTGGTTGTGGGGCACATCCCCGGTGGGGGGTGTGCAAGAGGCAGGTGGTCGATGTTTCTCTCTCATCAACGTTTCTAGCTCTCTGTCTCCCTCCCTTCCTCTCTGTAAAAAATCGATAAAATATTTTAGAAAAGAAAAAAAAACTCGAACAGCAAAGGCAATCTTGAATCAAAACAAAGCTGGTGGCATAAACTTCCTGACTTCTATTCATTACAAAGAGAAAGCAAGAAACAGTGTGTTGCTGGGGAAACATAGACACATCCATCAACAAAACAGAACAGAAAACACAGAAATAAACCCAGGCACATACTTTGAAGTAATCTTTCACAAAGCTACTAGACACAGAAGAAGAGAAATACAGTTTCTTCAATGAATGGTGCTGCGGAAAATCAATACTCTCATGTAAACACAACAATCCCGGTCACCACCGATAAAATGTAACTCAACCTGCATGACAGAATTAAATATTAGCACTAAAACTTAATCCTCCTCTGGACAAAAGAGAGAAAAAGTTTTGGAGATTTGTTTTGGACAGGAGTTTCTGGGTGTGACACCAACCATCAGACAAAATAGAAAAGAAAAAAAAACACATCCCTAACTGGGTTGGCTCAGTGGACAGAGAATAAAGATTTACAAAAGCAAAAAAAATATACATAAAAAATAATTTGCTCACTAAACAAGATGAAATTCCTTAGGCTTCCTGCAACAATACCAACCACAAGTTTTCCCTGTGAACTTAGTCCAGCGGGGAGAATTGGGACTTCTGGAATAGAAGGGAGCAGTGGAAACAGACCAACCCTCCTCAGGACAGCAACTACCCATGCAACTCGAGAATCAAGCAGAATTACAGTCTACATGGGAGGACACAGCACACCCTCGGGGATGGGCCTGAAAAATTGCAAAGCCAAGTCCAGGACACTGGTGACAGTGAGGGTCTTACCCAGCCAGGATACAAGTTCAAAGTTCTCCAGCATCACATTCAGATACAGCTGCCTCTGACCCTCATCAAGGAGGCTCCATTCCTCCCTGGAGAAGTACAGGGCAATGTCCTCAAAGGTCACGCCAACCTGTCAGAATGGAGACAATTGAAACCAGAGCTGTCTCTCTGACAACCAGTAATTAGACTCCTTACACACCTTCCCCCCATCAACCTCCTCCAGGACACCCAGTTAGTGAGGACACCAGGCCCTAATGCCAGTGCAGGCTGCTCTCTCATCACAGTCCCATTACTCACTGGGATTGCCCTCAGCAGAGCAGCTGGGTTGGGTGGGAAGGATTGAGGGAGGGGAGGGGAGAGAGCAATGCCATTTAAGCTCTGGGGATGCCTGCAGGGCCCCAGCCTTCCGGCCACACAGTCTCCAAGACAAAGCCATGAGTGGGCTTATGCTTCGGGGACCATCAGCTCACACTTCCTCCAGATGTGCACACCACTGGGTAAACTTTATCCCCTTCCCATCTTCAGTCCCAGGTTCACTCCCTCGGCTCTGCCCCCTTTCTGCTCCAATGCCACTGGGTCTCGTTTGTCTCCCCCATGAACATGGCACATGGCATGTGAGAAGCCTGTCTTCCAGCCGGGAAAACCCCAATGAGGCTGTGACGGCCTCCCTGCAGCCTCTGATCTGCCCGCCAACCCTCACAGCCACACCTTCAGGGGAACCTCAGAGGCCGGTCACCCCTGTCCTCTCCGCCCCGCACTGGCTGTGTCCTCAGAAGCCACCGCGCTCCTCCCTCCCCTCCGCCTTCCTCACGGTCCTCCCCGCGGACGGAGCTGCAGGAGGGACAGGCCCGCACCGGGCTGTGGGGTGCGGGGTGAGGAGGTGGCGAGGGCCCGGGGGACACAAACTCACCTCGGCCACCCGCCTCCACACGGGCGCCGCCATTGGCCTCCGTGGGCGCAGCGGGGCGGGAGCGGCAGCCGCTGCGAGAACAGCGGGGCCCGTCCGGCCCCGGAGCGTGCGGTGCGCGAGCTTCCTGCACCCCCGGAGGATCCCCCCATGGGCTGTGAGGCGGGAACACCTCTCTCCTGCCTTCTTCTCGGCGCTCTTGACCGCCTGAGACAGACCTGACAGAAGACAAAACCCGCCTGGAGGACTAGTCCCGCCCACAGAAATAAACAAAGGAAACGGCCTTTTCTCAGCCCCCATTGGCTCAACCTGGTGGCATTCCTTGCGTGGCCTTCTGGGTAATGTAGTTCCTAGGTTGCGAGAGCAGAATCCTGTTCATTTCCTCAGGAATCTCCAAGAATTTATTTTGGGGCAAATAGCCCAAGGACACACCAAGTATACTCAGGGTCCTCCAGGGCCTTAAGGGGAGGTGATTTCCAGCGCAAGTTTGTCATGCCCCTGCGTAGCTTCCTTTAGCTGCTGGTTTTGCATATCTTTCTTCAGGACCTGCTGTTTCTGAATAACAGGCATTGTTTCTTCATTCAGGCCATTTGGCATGAGTCTCCTACAGTGTGAGATGGTACCACATTTGCTCCAGCCACAAAGACAAGAGGAGAAACAGTCCAGAGATGAAAGATGGTGAAAACACCTTGCCATACTAACAGCCAGCAGCTATGGGTCCCTGCAGGTTGCCCAGGACCAAGTCAGAGAAGGTCTGACCTGCATTGTTATTGTTTGCTCACCAGCCCAATTCTCCCCAGCTGCACTCCCCTGACAACCTGGTCACCCCCAAATGCCCTCCCCTGCGTATTTCCTCTTTATTAGATGGTTATTTTTTTCTTTAACATATTGGATAACCATAACCAGTTCAGCTCAGTGGATGGAGCATCAGCCTGCAGCCTCAAGGGTCCCAGGTTCGATTCTCATCACGGGCACGTACCTTTGTTGGGGGCACATACCCAGTGGGAAGTTTGCAGGAGGCAGCCGATCGATGTTTCTCTCATAGACGTTTCCAACTCTCTATCCCTTATCTTTCCTCTCTGTAAAAAAATCAATAAAATATATATATTTTAAAAAGAAACATTTAAAATTCCTCCATATCTTCCTGAATCGTGTGAATCAGTGATTGAAAACCCAGGCTGCCGCAGCTGGAAGCAGATCACACTATGTGGGTGCATGCCTCTGCCAGGCTGAAACCCCAGCAAAGGCTGCCCGGAGTGCTCGTCCCTCCCAGGCTGCGACCCCAGCCCCAGCCCAGGCTGCCGGCCATGGCAGGGGATCAAATTTGTTTTTGTTTTTATGAAGGGGCAGAAGGGCCTCTGGGCAACATTTTGCCAGGCCACCTACTCTTCAGGCTCTCAGCAGCAGCTTGCCCTGAGACAGGGAGGGAGCGGGAATAGGGGGAGCCCAGGACTCTAGTGGGGCTGAGAGGACTGGGCACTGCCATCTTGTGGCTATGGGCGCAGTCATTTGTCACAAAGTAATGGTTAATTTGCATATTACTCTTTTATTAGATAAGATAACCAAATATTTATTAAAATGGAAATGATGGAAGCCGAAACCAGTTTGACTCAGTGGATAGCGTGTCAGTCTGCAGAATGAGGGGTCCCAGGTTCGATTCCGGTCAAGGGCATGTACATTGGTTGCGGGCACATCCCCGGTGGGGGCTGTGCAGGAGGCAGCTGGACTGCCTATTTCTCTCCCATGATGTTTCTAACTCTTTATCCCTCTCTCTTCCTCTCTGTAAAATATCAATAAGATATATATATTTTTAAAATGGAAATGATGGTCATATAGTCAAAGATAAGAATATCTACCTGTGCCGAAACCGGTTTGGCTCAATGGATAGAGCGTCGGCTTGGGGACTGAAGGGTCCCGGGTTTTATTCCGGTCAGGGGCATGTACCTTGGTTGCGGGCATATCCCCGGTGGGAGGTATGCAAGAGGCAGCTGATCGATGACTCTCTCTCATCGATGTTTCTGGCTCTGTCTCTCTCCCTTCCTCTCTGTACAAAATCAATAAAATATATTAAAAAAAAAAAAAAAAAAAAGAGTATTTACCTGAGCACAAGCAGGTTTGGCTCTGGATAGAGCATAGGCCTGCATCTTGGTTGAACACTCCTTCACAGCCTGGACCCTGGTCACAGCTGATGCAGGAGGCAACCAATTGATGTGTTTCTCTTACATCAATGTTTCTCTGCCTTTCCTTGTTTTTTCAACTTTCCCTAAAAATCAATGGAAAAATATCCTCGGGTGAGGATTAACAATAACAACAAAAAGGATATCTAGCAAAATAATAAATGAGTTACTAATAAACCTTTAGTAAATCTCCAAGAACTTTTGAAATATAAATCAAAGAAGAATACTTAGAAAAAGCAAAGTTCTTTAATAAATTTGAATGTAAATCAATGGGTACTATGGGAGCTATGAAGAAGAGATACAGAATAAATGAGGTCATGAAACAAATACAGTGACTGATATGATCAGGATGATGAGTATGATGGTTTCAGTTTCAAGCACATATCAAGATTTAGGAGACACTATTACTTAACAGATGCAATTTACTCATTACAGCTGTTAAAAGATAAAACAAATGTACGTTCACCTATTTTACAACAGGTTTGTCAACTCTATATACAATTCACATACTTATGCTCTCTGGGCAAGAGTCTCATCTCAGTGTCAGAAAATGCAACAATGAAGAACTTTCACCCAAACCCACTGGAATGCTGCCTGGGTCACAAAAGCCACATCCCTGGACACATCATAATTAAAATGCAAAGAGCAAAAAATAAATAAATAAATAAATAAATAAATAAATAAATAAATAAAAATAAAATGCAAAGAGCAAAAGACAAAGAGAGAATATTAAAAGCAGAAAGAGAAAAAACAATTAATTACCTACAAGGGAGCACCCATATGATTGTCAGCAGATTTCTCAACAGAAACTATGCAGACCAGATGGGAATAGCTAGTGTGGCTCACTGGATAGAGTGTGGGCCTGGAGACTGAAGGTTCCCAGGTTCAATTCCAGTCAAGGGCAAGTACCATAGTTGCAGGCACTGCAGCAGATCGATGCTTCTCATCTGTGTTTCTAACTCTCTATCCCTCTCCCTTCCTCTCTGAAAAAAATCAATAAAATATACATTTTTAAAAAATAAAGTGAATTAGCCGGGACTGGTTTGGCTCAGTGGATAGAGCGTTGGCCTGCGAACTGAAAGTTCCCGGGTTGGATTCAGGTCAAGGGCATGTACCTTGATTGCAGGCACATCCCCAGTGGGGGGTGTGCAGGAGGCAGCTGGTTGGTGTTTCTCTCTCATCGACGTTTCTAACTCTCTGTCCCTCTCAGTTCCTCTCCGTGTAAAATCAATAAAATATATTTTTTTAAAAATAAAAAAATAAAGTGAATTAAAAATCTGATGAACAGAATAAACTGATAAATATAATTGAATCAGGGGAATAGAAAGGGAGTCAACTGAGAGTTCTTGGGGTGGGGGGAGAAAGAGTGTGGGTAGTGCTGCAAGAGACTGGATAAAAATCATACACCTATGAATGAGGAAATTGGGAGGTAGGTGAGGGCCGAGGATGGGTTGGGAATCAAGTGGAGGGAAGCTATGTGGGGGGTGAAGGGGGATAGAGGTGAGGAACAATGGTAATAATCTGAAAAATAAAGATTAAAAAAAAAAAGATTTCAGAAGTCTTAGGGAAAATCGCTCATTATTTCACACAGAAAGAAACCGGAGACTGGCAGTTATCCCATTGATGAGTTAGAAACTCAATAAATTCATCATTAGCATCTAGAGAGAGTGTGTCTATGAAAATAGGAATTCTTCTATGTGGCAACTCATGACAGGGAAATAAGAAATAAGGTCTCAGGTATTCTTAATTTTCTTCAACAAATTAGACAACAGAGTCAGCACTCCTGGGTACATGAGGATGCTGATTGATGCCATCAGTAGGGACGTTTAAGGAGGTTTGGGTGAAAAACCTTCTTCAGCAGAAATATAATATGACAGATCAGGATGGACATCTCTGTGTTAGAAAGTGCAACATAATTAGATAGTATTCCAACATAAAAACAAACACAACAGCAAAAACACTATTGGGAACTTTACATAACATGTGATTAAATGTATGAGATACAATTCAGAAAAATGAGGATTCACAAATTTTCCTTTTCTATTGGAAAGTTCTAACTGAATTACATTTTCTACACATCTAAGAAATTTCTCACATTTTTACACTCATGAGAAGAGTAAATTAAGAAATTTGGCAGAGAGATATCTCACATTAATTGCACTCATAATGACTTTCTCTAGTGTGAACTCTCTGATATTAGAGATCACTGCTACTTGTATAAGATTTCATTTACTGCATTTATAAAGCTTTTCTCCTGCACGAACTCTCTGATGTTGAAGGATGTTCTTAGAGGGAAAAGATTTCCCACATTCATTTCATTTATAAGGCGTTTCTTCTGTATGAAGTCTGCAATGTTTATGAAGATGACTGCTCTGGGTAAAGGACTTTCCACATTCATTGCATTGAAAAGGCTTTTCTCCAATGTGTACTTTTTGATAATATTGGAAACTACTGATTCTTGTAAAAGATTTTCCACATTCAGTGCATTTATAAGGCTTTTCTCCAGTGTGAACTCTCTGATAGTGGAAAAATGTGGAATATTCACTGCATTGATAGGGCTTTTCTACTGTGATAGAAGTAGAAAAGTCTCTGATGATAACAAAGGACAGTTGTCTGGGTATAAGATTTCCCACATTCACTGCACTGTTATGGCTTTTTCTCCAGTGTGAATTCTCTGATGATATTGGAATCCATTGTTACTTGAAAAAGATTTCCCACATTCACTGCATTTATAAGGCTGTACTCCAGTGTGACTCCTGTGATGATTTCGGAGAGCACTGCTCCAGGTAAAAGATTTTCCACATTCAGTGCAATTATAAGGCTTTTCTCCAGTGTGAACTCTCTGATGAGAGTTTAGACCATGGACACTTCTAAAGGATTTCTCACATTCACTGCATTGATAAGGCTTTTCTCCTGTATGAAGTCTCTGATGATACTGGAGACTATTATTCCCTGAAAAAGATTTTCCACATTCACTGCATTTATAAGGCTTTTCTCCAGTATGAACTCTCTGATGTTGATGAAGAATGTTCTTAGCTTTAAAAGATTTCCCACACTCTTTGCATTTATAAGGCTTTATTCCAGTGTGTACTCTTTGATGATATCGGAACCCACTGCTCGAGGTAAAACATTTTCCACATTCACTGCATTTATACGGCATTTTTCCAGTGTGAACACTCTGATGATATCGGAAACCACTGCTCCTTGCAAAGGACTTTCCACATTCAGTGCATTTATAAGGCTTTTCTCCAGTGTGAACTCTCTGATGGCAGTGGAGATCATTGCTACTTATAAAAGATTTCCCACATTCACTGCATTGATAAGGCTTTTCTCCTGTATGCAGTCTCTGATGATATTTGAGAGCATTTCTACGTTTAAAAGATTTTCCACATTCACTGCATTTATAAGGCTTTTCACCTGTATGAACTCTCTGATGTTGATTAAGAATATGCTTGGCGTAAAAAGATTTCCCACAATTTTTGCATTCATAAGGCTTTTCTCCAGTGTGCATTCTCTGATGAGAGTGGAGACCAGGAACACTTCTAAAAGATTTCTCACATTCACTGCATTGATAAGACTTTTGTCCCGTATGAAATCTCTGATGATACTGGAGACCCTTGCTCGATGCAAAAGATTTTCCACATTCACTGCACTTATAAAGCTTTTCTCCAGTGTGAACTCTCTGATGATATTTGAGAGCATTTCTACGTTTAAAAGATTTCCCACATTCACTGCAGTGATAAGCCTTTTCTCCAGTGTGAACTCTCTGATGATATCGGAGAACATTGCTCCCTGCAAAACATTTTCCACATTCACTGCATTTATAAGGCTTTTCTCCAGTGTGTACTCTTTGATGATATCGGAAAGCACTGCTCGAGGTAAAAGATTTTCCACATTCATTGCATTTATACGGCTTTTTTCCAGTGTGAACACCCTGATGATATCGGAGACCACTGCTCCTTGTAAAGGATTTTCCACACTCACTGCATTTATAAGGCTTATCTCCCACATGAACTCTCTGATGTTGATGAAAGACTGTCTTGGAGATAAAAGATTTTCCACATTCACTGGATTGATAAGGCTTTTCTATCCTGTGAACTTCCTCATAATATTGGAGTCCATTTATACATTTAAAAGATTTTTCATATTCACTGCATTTATAAAACTTTTCTCCAGTGTGACCTCTCTGTTGATAATAAAAGCTAGATAATTTGGTAAAATATTTTCCACATTCACAAGACACAAAACCCTGACTTCCAATATGGACATCTTTTTCCTGAATAAACAGGTGGGTGCAACTAACGTCTTTCTTACATTCTTTTCTACTGAAATAATTTTCTCCCCATTTAAACGTCATCCCACTCATCAACATTGCAGTTGAACTATCCCTATTCTGAGTAGCCTTTGGGTGCAGAGGTACTAACCCAGGAAGGAAACGCTGGCCAATATCCTCGCATGTGACACGATTCTGAGACACATTGAAATTGCAGTTGTTTGCAAGTGGGATCCTTTCCATACCTCTAATGAAAGTATTCTCTCTCACATGCTGCTGGTGAAATTTTGCACTGAAATAGAATTGTTTTGTACATGCCCCACATCTCAACAGTATCCGTCTTTGTTGATTTCCCTGCAGCTCAGTTATGTGTAAAATGTTTCCCAATACGAGCCCACAACTATCACATGGGTGGCTCTTCTGGGAAGACAAGGCTACCTTGGGATTCCTTGCCTGTGACACTCTTATAGAAACCTTCTGTTCGGTCTTGGCCTCCACATTCTCTAGTCCACAGCAGCAACCTGAACAAAAATAAACATAGGTTAAGTGCATTTGTACCTGATAAAAAACAGAATATGTTCACTACATATGTGGATTTGCGATGACTGGACATGATTCTATTGACTGATTTTCAAGACACGTAAGTCAGACTCTAAGGAAATGGCTGTTATATATAACATAAGCCAAAAGATCCCTGGGATGATGAAAATCTCATCAAGGGAGGACAGAATCATAGGCTGGAACAAAAACAAGAGAGGCAGGGTTTACCCATTATTACTCCACAAGTGGCTTCCTTTTAGGAACTTTCATGATGCGGATGTGAATCTGTGTAAAATAATTTCAATGTGATCAAACCCATAAACTATCAATCATATTAAAGTACATGATGTTCAGAGTTAATAAAACAAGCATGCAAGCTAAGGCACTGTAGGCATGAAACAACATTGGAGTGCAGTAAAGTGAGATGTGTGAAAGAGGTAGAGGCCCAAAGTTTAAAAAGGTTAAGGCTATCCATGGGATGGTAATCCTAGTAGAATGACCACTAATAAAATGGTCATACACAAAGTGTTTACATTAATCAAGAAAAAGTTGAATTGGGTGAGGAGTGGGCAACAGTACAAAACATTATTGAACAAAATGAGTCACTAGTTATGAAAGTAACAAAGCCCAGCCATGAAAACCACCCCCAAAGTACTTCACCAAAGCAAGACTGTCTCTGGGTCTACCCCATTATTAATAGTCATGTTTCTCTTGTGATGCACAAAGGATTCTGCTCTTAAATCCCAGTTGAGCCACTGCATGAGATAAATGATGCCAATCCGAAAAAAGAAAAAAAGAAAAAAAAACTACCCTTAAAAAAAAAGAAAAAGAAAAATTGAAAGGATGGATGCTCAGCACTGTAGAACAACAACAAAGAACAATTGAGATCACAGGCAAAAGACCTATGAGAGTAAAATCAGTAAGATGGCAGAATCAGAGATATGAGAATCTTTCCCCATCACACAGTAAGTAGACAGTTATCAATGAGAAAAACATCCCATAGGAAATGGGAATAAGAGTTCCATGAAGATAAGAATACAGAATACCAAAAAACAACAACTACATGGAAAGGATGACAGGAAACCGGGTGAACAAAGACAATTGAAGATACCTAAGGTAAAAAACAAGGGTTAATTTAAAAATCAAAAATCAAAAATCAAGGATCCACACTAGCTGCTTTGCCCCGTGGATAGAGGGTCAGCCTGTGGACTGAAAAGTCATAGGTTCCATTCTAGGTATGTGCACATGCCATTTGTTGTGGGTTCCTTCCCAACAGGGGCCATAAAGGAGGCAGCTAATCAATGATAGGTTCTCATCATTAATGTCTTGTCTCTAAATCTCACTCTCTCTTTCTCCCACTTCCTCTCATAAAGCAAGAAAAAGGTATTAAAAATTTTTTTTAACCCTAGTTGGCTTTGCTCAGTGGATAGAGCATTAGATTATAGAAAGAAGGGTCCCAGGTTGGATTGCTATCAAGTGCACATGACCAGGTTGTGGGGCTTGGTCCCCCAGAGGTGGTGTGCAGAGGCAGCCAATCAATCATTCTCATCTTTTATGTTCTCATCTCTTTCACCCTCTCTTTCTGAAATCAACAAAAATAAATTTTATAAAAAATGAAGTAAAGCCGAAACCGGTTTGGCTCAGTGGATAGAGCGTCCACTTGCAGACGGAAGGGTCCCGGGTTCAATTCTGGTCAAGGGCATATACCTTGCTTGCAGGCACATCCCCAGAGGGCGTGTGCAGGGGGCAGTTAATTGATGTTTCTCTCTCATCGATGTTTCTGGCTCTCTGTAGAGGGCTCCTTGCAAAGGCACATGGATTACCTTTAAATTAATGTCAGCTGAGTCCCAGATGACTGGCATGGCTGTCTCCTGGAAACAGCCTCCCAAAATGCGGGAGACAGTCACCAGTACAGATTTCTTATCTTTATTCATGTGCTTGGAATGAGGAACAAATAGGACCTGGACTTACTCAGGACTTGATATGCTAAATCTTGTCCTTGTACCAAAAAATGAGGAACTTGACCCAGGCCTCCATGAACAGGACTTGGGCACACTCTAAACTCCTTTAGACCTTAAACCCCTCTTTGGAAATTAATAAATGTGGTGTATTGTCTGTGGTGGAGGTTGACTGTCCCTCTCTCAGAGTGACACCCTCCACCCAGGACCTAGCTTTTGCATCTATTTCTGCCTCTTGTCTTTTTCTTACTTTTATTTCTTTTTTTAATTTTCAAAAAAATATACTTTATTGATTTTTTTACAGAGAGGAAGAAAGAGGGATAGAGAGTTGGAAACATCGATGAGAGAGAATCATCGATCAGCTGCCTCTTGCACACTCCCCACTGGAGATGTGCCCAAAACCAAGTAAATGCCCTTGACCGAAATCGAATCTGGAACCTTTCAGTGCAGAGGCTGACACTCTATCCACTGAGCCAAACCGGTTTCGGATCTTTGTTTTATTTCTTAATCCCCAGTACTCCACTGAGGAACATATCCTTCGCCCTTCCTCTCTGGAAAAAATCAATACAGCCGAAACTGGTTTGGCTCAGTGGTGGAGCGTCGGTCTGCAGACTGAAAGGTCCCAGGTTCGATTCAGGTCAGGGGCATGTACATTGGTTGCAGGCACATTCCCGGAGTGGGGTATGCAGGAGAAAGCTGGTCAAAGTTTCTCTCTCATCCATGTTTCTGGCTCTCTATCTCTCTCCCTTCATCTCTGTAAAAAAATCAATAAAATATATTTTTAATTTAAAAAAATCAATACTATATATATATTTTATTTATTCATTTATATTCACATACATACATAGACACATACATACATACATATGACCAACAAGAATATACAAAACGCTTTCCTCACTGATCAAGGTGGAATCCCTCAGGCTTCCTGCAACACTACCAACCACCAGTCCTTCCCTACAGCGTTGAGTATTAGGGATTCAGCAATAGAAGGGAGCAGTAGAAACAGACCAACCCTCCCCAGACACCAACTACCAGGAAACTGGAAAATCAAGCAGAATCACATTCTACATGGGAGGACACAGCACACACTGGAAGATGGGGCCTGAGAAGTCCCAAAGCCAAGTCCACGTCACTGGTGAGAGTGAGGGTCTTACCCAGGGAGGATACAAGTTCAAAGTTCTCCAGCATCACATTCAGATACAGCTGTCTCTGACCCTCATCAAGGAGGCTCCATTCCTCCCTGGAGAAGTACAGGGCAATGTCCTCCAAGGTCAAGCCAACCTGTCAGAATGCAGACAATTTACACCAGAGCTGTCTCTCTGAGAACCAGTAATTGTACTCCTTCCCCCCACCCACCGCTCCCCCGCCCAATCTCCTCCAGGGCACCCAGTTAGTGTGGACACCAGGCCCTAATGCCAGTGCAGGCTGCTCTCTCATCACAGTCCCATTACTCACAGGTATTGCCCTCAGCAGAGCAACTGGGTTGGGTGGGAAGTATTAAGGGAGGGGAGGTTAGCAAGCAATGACATTTAAGCTCTGGGGATGCCTGCAGGGCCCCAGCCTTCCTGCCAGGCAACACCAATGGAGTCTCCCAGATCATGCCTCCAAGAAAAAGCCAAGGTGGGTTTATGCTTCACATTTCAATCTCCACACCAGGTCCCAGAGTCCATCAGCTCTCACTTCCTCCAGATGTGCACACACTCGGTAAACTTTATCCCCTTTCCATCTTCAGTCCCAGGTTCACTCCCTCGGCTCTGCCCCCTTCCTGCTCCAATGCCACTGGGTCTCGCTGGACTCCCCCATGAACTTGGCACATGGCATGTGGAGAAGCCTGTCTTCCAGCGGGTCCAGGACCACCCCAGGCCCCTGAGGGACCCCACAGCCGGGAAAGCCCCAATGAGGCTGTGACGGCCTCCCTGCAGCCTCTGATCTGC